TTCCCTTTGTATTCGACATTTTGGTTAATTACTAGAAGGCGGTTCCGGCCAAAAAGGCCCAATTGATTGATTTTTGAGGAAGTCTGACCCTGTCGGGATTCTCTACTATCCCCACTCCCAACTCAGCCACCCAGCGAGCCAGCCAGGACCACAGGGGTGCAACATTCCCTGTAGTCCACTTAGACTGGGATAGGAATTGAACCTGGGACTTTCATTTAGCCTCAGCCTCTAAACAGCAATATGCTAGCAGTGCACACCACTGTGGTTAAGCCAATAACCACTATTATTTTTTTAAAATAGTTATTTAATTTACTTTATTGTTATTATTACTTTTTTTTTAAACCTTTGCTAAAGGGCATCTGTGCTCACCAAAAAGAGACAGTGAAGGAAAGTGAGATAACCAGGTGCCAGGTGCAGTCTAATGATCTAATGATATAAACATACTGAGAATTAGTGCATGGCAAACACAAAAAGGTTGTTAAAGAAAAAAAAAAATGAGAAGTAGCTCTCTGCTCTCAAAACCTTATGGTAGCAAAGATACTTAAACGCTTGACTACAGTTCAACAGAATACACAGGCTCGTAGGATGACAAATCTTTACCAAACACCTTCTAGATGCTTCTCCCTCTAGGCACTGGAGAGATACATCAGTCAACAACACAGCAAAATGCCCCTGCCTGCGCAGAGCTGAGCTGACAGTGAAGAGACAGATCACAGACACAATGGAAATGGCCTGCTGGGCAGAGATAAATGTAAGGGAGAAAAGAGCAAAGACGGGAGGTGGGAGGGAGGGAGAGGGTCATTTAAATCAGTTCCAAATAACCCTCACGCTCTATTAAGTGCAGCTCTGCACACTTTCACATGGCTGTTAAGGTTGCACAGAACTAGGGTCTGGACAACCGACAAGAGAATGACTGGCGGGTGGGCTGCGCTGGGAGGGTGGAGGCAAGCAGTTTCCAGGAAGAAATGAATGCTGAGCAAGTAAGTTCCCTTCCCTTTCCTTCCCATCTGGAATGTTCCTCCCACCTCTCATGGGCTGCAGAGCATATGAATCAGCTCGGACTGACTTCAAGCATTTCCAGCAAACACTGGACACCTGTGTCAAGGCCCTTTGTCAAAATGTATGCATCTCTTCAAGTCAATGTCATGAGCATCTGCAACTGTGTCCTCCTTTCCTGGGTTGTGAACATCAATGCCAATTTTCAAGGACTTTTTTTCTTTAAAGTTTATTTTCTTTCTTTCTTTCATAAGAGAGACAGTGACAGGGAACGTGAGAGACATACTCTCAGTAGGGTCTCATCACTCCATGATTCTTCCCCTCTGGAAGGCCTCAGAAGCTGCGTCAGGATCATGGAAACAGCCAGCATGTTCAGGTCAAACTGGGATCCAAACCCAGGCCTCTCATGTGGCTCCAATATTGCACAGTGGCGCCCTACTACCTGCACCGCTGCACGTGGGCCTTTAACACTTTTTCTTTTTTTTTTTTGAGAGGCTTTTTGCTATAGGGCGCATGCACTCGCCAGAAAGACAAAGAGAGACAGAGACAGAAAGCGAGAAATCACCCCCAGAGGGGATGGCCACACCACAATCCCTTTTCCTTCATTCTCCTCTTGGGATCTTGGGCACGCACGCACACACTCAGCATAAGTTTAAGCCACCAGGTCTGGGACTCAAACCGAGGTCGAATACATGGGAGTCCAGAGTCATAACCATCTGCTGGTCTCAGCAGTTATTTCTTTTATCATAAAAGAACACATAAGGGCCACCAGGTGGCATAGTGATTAGGGTGCTGTCCCACCACAGTTTGAATCCCAGACCTGATGACTTGAAAAATCACACCAAGTATGTGTGTGTGCATGCCCAAAATCCCAGGAGGAGAATGGAGAAGGGATTGCAGTTTGGCCATCCTCCTGGTGGGTAATTTCTCTTTTTTAGATGTTTATTTATTTATTTGTATTTCATTTTATTTACTCATTCATTTAATTTCATTTAACCAGAAAAAGACAGACACACAGAGTGAAGGAAGGTGAGAAAGCAAACCACCAGGTCCAGGACTCAAACCATGGTCAGCCATGTGGGAGTGTCCAGTGCCTTAACCACCACACCACCTGCTGCCCACCTCCCCGCCCCCCCCGTGGGTAATTTCTTACTTTCCCTCTCACTATCTCTCTCTCCAGTGAGCACACATACCCTGTGACAAAGACTTACAAGAAAAAAAAAGAACACGTAATCACAGTAAAAAATATGAAAAAAAAAATCAGAAAGCACAAAGATTCCCAATATTCTTACAATACTACCACCCGTCCATATGTTGACATGCATTTTGGCAGAGTAGTTGCTTAACACAATAGAGGCCACTCTACACCCTTGTAATTTCTTATCCTGGGTTTTTTATTTTTATTACATATGATTTTTAAATTTCTACATATGTATCTTTTCTGCCTAAAACAAATTACACATGATCATACTTTTCAATGGCTATATGACATTCCGTGCCATTGATGTACTCTACTTATTAACCATTTTCATATTATTGGGTATTTACGTTTCCAGGTTTTCATAATTACAGATTACCCTAAAAATAGCTAAATACAGAAAGGTATTTCAAGTAGTCCCCTCAGAATAGAGTCCTCGAAGGAGAGTTACTAGAAACGGGCGATGTCTCAGACAAGCAGTCACTGCACAGTGGCCTGCGGCGACTTCCTGGCCGCAGAGGCAGAACACAGTAGCCGGCCCTCTCACCGCGGTTTGGTCTTGATGACAAATGGCTGTAGAAGAGGCATAGTTACCTGCTGTCGGAATCGGAGGCAATCTCCTTTCTCCCTCCGAAGCGGATCTGGCACTGCACAGAAAAAGAAGCCGCTGAGATCAGCTGTTCGGACGGGACATGCAAAACTATAGAACAGGCCACACAGACTGTCAGGGTCAGCAGGGAACGTGGAGCCGGAAACTCCACGCGCCGAGTGAACGTGTCAGAATAAGACTCAGAAAGGCGGACACACAGCCTGCAAGCTGCCACTCAAGGCAGCCCTTGTGTCCCACAGGTATAGAAGTGCACCTGTGGGAAAACGATGCTGACAGGAAAACAAAAGCTCGCAGCCGTGTGCAGGTAGCTGGGAGTCCTCCTGCGCTAGCAGCTGATCGTCTGTAACAGCACTCTTCACAGGTGACAATGAAAACCTGCACGGATCGGTGATGATGGTTCCCTAACTAGAGCCCCAGAGTTGTCACAACTGGCCTTAAAATCATTACAGCGCAAATCAAGCAAGTCATTCAGTGTGCTGAACAACCCTGTACTGAGGGTGGGTAAAACTGTTTTTCCTAGTTGTGATAAAATACAAATAATGCAAATTTTACCATTTTAATCAATTTTAAATGTAAAATTCAATTCACAGTGTTGGGTAACCATCACCACTATCCACTTTTCTCTTCTTTTTTTTTTTTTTTTGGAGAGATTTTCACTGTAGGGCGCGTGCGCTCGCCAGACAGACAAAGAGAGACATAGAGACAGAAAGCGAGAAATCACCCCCCAGGGGGGATGGTCACGCCGCAATCCCTTCTCCTCCATTCTCCTCTCGGGATCTTGGGCATGCACGCACACGCGCCCGGCGTGAGTTTTTTAAGCCACCGGGTCCGGGACACGAACCGCAGTCGACTACGTGGGAGTCCAGCGACATAGCCATTACGCTAACTGCTGGTTCCCTCCACTATTCTCTTCTAAAGGCAGAGAATTTCTGCTATAGGTAGCAGACTTTCAAGATTCCTAAACTAGTTATTAAAATAAATAAATAAATAAATAAATAAATAAATAGGGGCCAGCCAGCAGGTGGCATGGAGGGTAAGGCGCTGGATTCCCACATGGCTGACCGCAGTTTGAATCTCCTGGATCTGGCGGCTTGAAAATCATACCAGGCACATGTGTGTACATGCCCAAAATCCCAGGAGGAGAATGGGAGAGAAGGGATTGCAATGTGGCCATCCTACCGGAGGGTGATTTCTCACTTTCCCTCTCACTAGCTCCTTCTCTCTCCAGCGAGTACACATGCCCTATGAAAAAAAAATAAATAGATACATCTATATAAATTAACTGATACCTGTGTCAAAATTCATTAAACTGTAGATGTAAAATAATTTATTTGGGGGTCAGCAGGGCAGATTGGTTAAGGTGCTGGATTCCCACATGGCCGACCACTGTTCCGGCCCCAGAACTGGTGGCTTAAAACTCACACTGGGCATGTGTACATGTGTGCCCAAAACCCCAGGAGGAGAATGGAGGAGAAGGGATTGTGATGTGGCATCCCCCACACACACAGGGTGATTTCTCACTTTCTCTCTCTCTCTCTCTCTCTCTCTCTCTCTCTCTGTGTGTCTCCAATGAGACCACATATCCTATAGCAAAAATCTCTCAAAAAAAAAGTAAAAATCATTTTATGTAAATTACACATCAATAAAGTTTGATTTTTAAAGATGTTTACAATACTTTAATTCCTGCCCCCATAATAACAATAATAATAGCAGTAGCTCCAATTTACTTCTATTTTTTTAAAGATTTATTTATTTGTCCATTTATTTTAATTTGACCAGAGAGAGAAAGAGAAAGTGAGAAAGCAAGCCACCAGGTCTGGGACTGGAACCATGGTCGGTCTTACGGGAGTGTCCAGCGCCTTAACCACCACACCACCTGCTGGTCCCCAATTTACTTCTGTTTAACTGCTACATTTAAAGTGTTCCAACCTGCCTCCTCATATTCTTGTTATATTTTCCATTTCTGGAGCAAAGACAAAGAAACTAACAGTGTGAGCTCCAGGCTGACTATGGACCTGGTGCCAGGGGGAGGTCTTCTACCTATGTTAACACATGTGGTAACCTCTGCAGTCCTATGGAGGTAAGAGACCCAAATACAAAGGAGTTGGGTGATGTTCAGAGAAGGCAGATGAGGTGCCCAGCACACTCAGGTGTGACCTCTGCTCCCCTGAGCCCAAAACCTGTGTCCTTTCCACCATATTAGGATGCCTCAAGGCTCAGGTAGATGCCAGATTTCCATTACTTCAACACATAAAACACATGGCTATTAAAATATTCCATACCTCCCTATATGATAATCACATACGTATAACTGTTAATAACCCCTTCCAAAAGTGAGCTCCTAGGATTCCCAGGCTGGGATCTAGTTTTGTCACTTACTATGACACCTCGAGCAGGTTAACGGATCTCTCTGATCTTCTATTTCTTCATCTGTAAAATGGAAGTAACTGCAGAAACGATCTACCAGGGTAGCAGGACAGATTACGTGTAAAGCACTCAGCAGAGAGCCTGGACAGGTGGACGTGTGGTAAGCGAGAGCTAACAGCAGCATGTGCTCAGCACATGCAGGAAGCAAATAGATTGCAGCCTCATGTCTCAGCTGCCTTGCAAGCCCAGCCAGAGCTGGGCATCAGAATCACAGGAGAACCTACCTGAAGGAAGCTCACAGGTGCAGTCAGCAGCAGAGGCTCCTGGGCATGGCTTTGCTCCTCTCTGTCTTGTTCCTATGCTCGTAGGGTCTCATTTCCAAACCACCACCCCTGCACCCTTAAGAGTGGCCCTAACACACAACAGCTTGGAAGTGAGGCACTGAAACCCACATCAATGCCTTTTCAAAGGGACATCATGAAGACTGAGTTCCTCCAGAAGGATTTGGGAGCTGAAAACACAGCAACCCCTCCAGACCTACGCTGCTCTATCACTTTCTGGGGAACACCACTGACTTCACTACTCCCAGATATAATGTAGGAGTAAGTCTGTGTTCAGAGAGGGGCAGAAATGGCTTCTACATTAATTATTTCCCACTATTACTCAACCCCAGCATCAAACAAGTGCTTTCCTCTTACCTGTTTTACTGCATCCAGCAGTCGCTCCAGCAGAAATTGTCTTTTGTCACTGTTCTGTGATCCTAAAATGCAATGAGGCTTCATTAGTTCTGCCTGATATTAGCTTTCTACAAAGACTTTCTCACATTATAATTCATGGCTGGCCCCAACTAGGATCAGTCTTTTGCTATTGATCTTTAACAAAATCAATGCAGGACTAAATACCAATAACCTACATCATTACAATGGAGTTTGACCTTTTGCCCGTTACTGGATCATAAGAAAACAGCCAAATGCATTTCCCCCAAACTTGAAGAACACGTCCAGCATGGCTGACGGGTTTCTCTCCTTGCCACTGTGACAATGTAGGATGTTTAGCTGTATCCCTGGGCTCTACCCCCTAGATGCCATCAGCACATGCCTACCTAAACAAAATAAAAGGTCTCAAGATTTTTTGTTTATTGTCCAAGAGCATATGTACCCTAGAGGTTGGGGGGAGAGGAACAGAGGACCCCCAATAGGGTATGGTCACATCATAATCCCTTCTCCTCCATTTCTCCACCTATTGGGATGTGGGGCATGTATATATATATACATACACACACACACACACACACACACACACACACACACACACACACACACACATCT